CTGTGACTGGGGGTGCGGTGCCTGGGGGTGCTGAGCCAGGGAGTGCGGAGCTTGGGGGTGCGGGGTCTGAGGGTGCTGAGCCTGGGGAGGGCTGAGCCTGGGGGTGCTGGGCCTGGGGGTGCTGAGCCTGGGGGTGCTGAGCCTGGGGGTGCTGAGCCTGGGGGTGCTGAGACTGGAGGTGCTGCGCCTGGGGGTGCTGAGCTTGGGAGTGCTGAGACTGGAGGTTCTTCGCCTGCAGGTTGTCCGGGTGCTTCGTCTCGCCGAGAGCCACTCTCCCCACAGGAGCGGCGTGAGTGGTTTGCCCAGCGCTGGAGGCGTGCTGCTGGTGCTCGAGGTTCTTCGGCTGCTGAGGGTGCTGCTGCCGCGCGTCCCGGAGGTGCTCGTACTGGGAGCACTGGAGCTGCTGGGCCTGCTGGTTCTCCTGGAGCTGGTGCTGCTGAGCGTGTTGGCGCTGAGACTACCGCTAGCGGTCCAACTGGCAGTGCTCCTGGTGCTGCTGGAGGTTCTCGGGCTGCTGGAGGTGCTGCTGGAGGTTCTGGAGCTACTGGAGGTGCTGCTGGAGCGGGTACTCCTGCTGGGGGTACTGGTGCTGTCCCTGCTGTTTCTGGCGTCGCCACGCGACCCCGACCGTACTTTGTTCCACTCCTGCAGCAGGTTCTTGGTCTTACACCTTCTCCTGGTCCTCCTCCTCCTCCCTTAGAGGGTCCACAGCCTGTCCAGTCACAGTCACAGCTACAGCCTTGCCTCCCCTTTGCCTGCTCCTTCTCCCTACACTGGTCCGACTAGAGGTCTTACTGAGCGTCGTGAGCTTGCGTCACGTCCTGCGTCGCCTGTTCGTGCTGCGCGCACTAGTGGTCGCGGTTCGCGTCAGCGTCCTCCTCCTGTCCCTGGCACGCACCGGATAGTCTCTGCGTCCGTCCACTGCTCCTCTGCGTGCCCCTTTACCTTCTCCTCCTGCTTCCTCTCTTCCTGCTCTTGCCGACCCGGAGTCGGACTCTCTTCGTGCTGCTATTCCTACTGTCACGCGTCTCCTTGCTACTGCCGTCAGTGACCCTTCTTTCGAGTCTTCTGCTGCGTCCGCCCTTGTTAGTGAGCTCGTCGACTTTGCTTCGCGCTGTCGTCTAGACTACGCTGCTAGTCTTGTCGCTGAGTCTGAGTCTGCCACTCCTTCGTCCGTCGGGGGTGAGTGTGCCTTTGGCATGGACGTCCTTGAGGACAGGTAGGAGGAGTTCCAGTGTCTAGCCGCCGCTTCACCTCATCTCGCGTCTGTACTGCTCGCCCCTGAGGGAGACCCGGATGCACTAGACATCCCGACTCCGCGCTCTTACGCGGAGGCGATAGAGGGTCCCTACTCCTCTCAGTGGCAGGCAGCTATGGATGCAGAGATGGCTTCCTGGATGTCCACAGGCACCTACGTTGACGCTGTCCCCCCTCTTGGGGCGAACATCGTCAGTGGCATGTGGATTTTCAGGGTGAAGCGGCCGCCGGGTTCTCCGCCTGTCTTCAAGGCGCGTTACGTGGCTCGTGGCTTCAGTCAGCGGCAGGGAGTTGACTACTTTCAGACCTTCTCCCCCACCCCGAAGATGACTACTCTTCAGGTACTGCTGCACGTTGCTGCTCACCGCGACTACGAGCTGCACTCTCTCGACTTCAGCACTGCTTTCTTGCAGGGCAGCCTGCACGAGGAGATCTGGCTGCGTCGCCCACCTGGATTCACTGGGTCTTTCCCTCCTGGTACCCAGTGGAGTCTCCGGCGTCCAATCTACGGTCTTCGCCACGCGCCGCGTAAGTGGCACGACACACTGAGGACTACGCTGGCGGCACTTGGGTTTGCTCCTTCCACTGCACACCCGTCGCTGTTTCTGCACACCGACACCTCTCTGCCGCCGTTCTACATCCTCGTGTACGTCGACGACTTGGTCTTTGCCACAGCTGACACTGCTGGACTCGCCTACGTGAAGTCGGAGCTGCAGAAGAGACACACGTGCACAGACCTGGGTGAACTGCGCAGCTACCTTGGCTTGCAGATCACCCGAGACAGAGCACGCCGCACCATTACGCTGACTCAGTCACACATGGTGCAGCAGGTCCTTCAGCGCTTCGGCTTCACGTACTCCTCGCCTCAGGCCACTCCTGTGCCTACTCGCCACACGCTCTCAGCTCTGCCTTCGGATGAGTCCGTAGAGTCGAGTGGCCCGTATGCAGAGCTTGTTGGCTGCCTCATGTACCTGATGACCTGCACACGACCTGACCTTGCATACCCTCTTAGCATTCTCGCACGCTATGCTGCTCCTGGGAGACACCGACCAGAGCACATGGCTGCAGCGAAGAGGGTGTTGCGCTACTTGTGCAGTACGTCGGGCATGGGGCTAGTGCTTGGAGGGCGTAGTCAGGTGGTCCTCACTGGGCACGCGGACGCTTCTTGGGCTGACGACCAGGCTACGCAGCGGTCGTCACAGGGTTACACCTTCAGCCTTGGTTCCGGCTCTGTTTCGTGGCGGGCTACCCGCTCGTCTTCAGTTCTCGGCTCCAGTTGTGAGGCTCAGATCTACGCCGGGGCTATGGCGGCCCAGGAGCTTCGCTGGCTCACCTACCTGCTGACCGACCTTGGAGAGCCGCCTCGTTCTCCTCCATTCCTGTACGTAGACAACAAGGCCATGCTGGCCTTGTGTCGAGAGCAGCGACTGGAGCACAGAACAAAGCACATTTCTCTCCGCTACTTTCTTGCTCGTGAGCTACAGCAGCGTGGACAGTTGCGACTTGCGTACGTGGCCTCTGAGGCCAACACTGCTGATGTCTTCACCAAGGCACTTGCGCCTTGTGATCATCAGCACTGCTGCACGCAGTTGGGTCTTGTGCCTGTCTTGCCTCACTTGCTCACTTTTTGACCTTGCTTGTACCTTTACCTATATATACTCTTGCTCTTGCTTGCTTGACTCTTGTATATCTCTATATGTGATCTTGCATGTGAACTGGCCTTCTGGCCTTTGAACTTGTGCTCGGAATGTGTGGTGACTTTGTGATCCACCTTGAGCTTTGCTTTGCTTTGCCTGACTGGTCTTGTGACCCCTTGTTCTCCCCCGCTTTGCCTATGGGGGTGTGTAGAACATTATAGCTTACTTATTTGTGTAGGCTATAGTGGGGTATCCCATAGGGGGTACAACCCAATCAGGGTTTCCTATTTGTACTCACTTCGTTCATAGTCATTTCATTCTCGTTCTATTCTTCTCAGAGGTACTAGCCAAGATAGGCACGAACAGCATCCATATGGGGCTGGCGAAGCAGGCCAGCAATGACAAACACCATGATCTGCAAATTTCAGGGTTTATGACAGCAGGAGGGCATGAGTAGTTGGGACATGCGTGAGAAGATGAGCAAACGGGTTTCGATGCGGAATTGATGAAAGCAGGAGAGAGGGTACTCAAATGCAGCAGGGGGTGTGGTGTAGTCTGGGATCGGCATGCCGCTTCTGCATGGTGCATGCTATATCGCACAAGATGATCACATGCACCATGGCTTGCACACCTGCATGACGGCCTTGTGCTCAGAGGCCGCGACACATGCTCCAGTCTTGAAGTAGGCGCTCTGTAGCAAGCGCAGGTGGTTCAGACGCGTGCGGTCGCGAATGAGCGACAGGCGCCTGCGCATACACAACAGTTCAAGGGCGGGCACAAATACAGAAACATGTAAGTAGGAGGAGGAGAGTGCGGATTGGAGTGTTCTTGATAACGAGCAACAAATCTAATCCCCAAAGGCACTGACCTGTCCATCTGCTTCACGCGCCACTTCTTCATCTTGCCCACGACAGCCACAATATGGCTCATCATGCCCAGGTCCGCCTGGTGCATGATGTCAGGCATGATAACGAGGTAGGGATTGCCCCACACGGTGTCAGAACATATAGCTTGTGCTTATTGTGTAGGCTATAGTGGGGTAGCCCATAAGGGGTACAACCCAATTAGGGTTAGTACTTGTACTCAGTTCATTCATAGTTCATTCATTCTCGTTCTTATTTTCTCATGGTATCGAGCAGGTTCCCTCGTGGGAACTGTTCCTAGGGCCCACCGATCCTCCCTTTTTTTTTTCCTGCCCGGGGCGCATCCTGCCCCTGCCCGAAGCGCGCCTAGGGTCGCGCCCTTCTTAGCGGCCCGTCGCGTCGCCCTTAGCGGCCCATCGCGTCGCCCTTAGCGGCCCGTCGCGCCGCCCTTACGGCCGCGTCGCGCAGCCCTAACGGCCGCGTCGCGCCGCCCTTTCACAAGCGGCCCATCGCCAGCCCTTCTCCTGCGGCCCGCCGCCCTCAATTGCGGCCCCGCCGCCCTCATCTGCGACGCCGCCGCCCTCAACTGCTGTGGCCTCGCCGCCCTCAACTGCTGCGGCCCCGCTGCCCTCAACTGCGGCCCCGCCGCCCTTCTCTGCGGCCCCGCCGCCCTCTACTGCGGCCCCGCCGCTCTCACCTGCGGCCCCGCCGCTTTCACCTGCGGCCCCGCCGCTTTCACCTGCGGCCCCGCCGCCCTCAACTGATGCGGCCCCGCCGCCCTCAACTGCTGCGGCCCCGCCGCCCTCAACTGCGGCCCCGCCGCCCTCAACTGCTGCGGCCCCGCCGCCCTCAACTGCTGCGGCCTCGCCGCCCTCAACTGCGGCCCCGCCGCCCTTCTCTGCGGCCCCGCCGCCCTCACCTGCGGCCCCGCCCCTCTCGTTGGCGGCCCCGCCGCCCTAACTTGCCGCCGCGCCGCCCTCACCTGCCGCCGCGCCGCCGTGCAGCAGAACCGTCGAGCCGCCCGGGCAACCGAGCAGCCGGGCAGCCGGCCGCCAAGCCGCCCAGCAGCCGAGCAGCCGAGCCGCCCTGCAGCCGAGCCGCCCAGCCGCCCAGTAGCCGAGCCGCCGATCTGCCGAGCCGCCCTACTACCGAGCCGCCCAAGCTGCCCTGTCCGGTGAGCACAATGCCTCCTTTTTGCTACACTGCTCTCACCCTACTGTTGCACTGCTAGTCTACTGCTGTCATGGCTACCCCTAGTGTCCTCGCTTTTGACGCTGAGAGTCGAGCCATTAACTTCAACGTTTGGGTAGATGACCTGCAGCTGTTCTTACAGTGCGATAGGGCAGACGGTCTCTCTCTCTTTGACCTCACCTCTGGCGCCTCTCCTGCCCCTGCTGCTGATGCTCACGCCACTGTTCACTCCCAGTGGGCCACGCGCGACGCTGCTGCACGTCTTGCTGTGCATTGCCACCTCCCTACCTCCGAGCGTGCGCACTTTAGTCAGTACAAGAAGTGCTCAGACCTTGTACGACGCTGTAGTGAGCCGTCACATGCTACCGTACCTGTTCTCTGACCTTGCTGCCTTTCCCATAGTCGCTGACCTCATTACGCACCTCCGCACTAGTGACACTCGCTACCGCACTGCGCTTCCTGCTGACTTCTGCGCCAAGAACCCCCCCCCCCATGTACATCACTCTCTACTACATAGTCACTCTCCTCCCTGACTCCCTTCGCGTAGTCAGGGACCACTTCCTCTCAGTCTGTCCAACCACTCTCACTGTTAACCTCCTCGAGAAGTCCCTCCAAGCGGCTGAGAAGAGCATAGTCGCTGTAGGGGCCTCTCGTGGTGACCCGCGCACCCCCATCTTTGAGGGGTGTTCCCCCTCCCCCCTTCTGCCCTCTGTTGCCTCTGCTGCTGCGGCCGACCTCCTTGGTCTTGAGTCGGTGGGTGCGGCGTCTGCCCCTAGCGGGAGACGTTACTCTGGCAAGGGCAAGGGGGGCATGGGCACTAGAGGGGCGAGCGGGGGCGGTGGAGGTGGAGGTGGAGGCGGCGGGGGGAGTGGGGGTGGCGGTGGGAGTGGTGGTGGGGGTGGAGGTGTCGGTGGCGGCAGTGGAGGCGGAGGCGGCGGCGGCGGTGGCGGTGGGAGCGGAGGTGGCGGAGGTGGCGGCGGTGGAGGAGGCGGCAAAGGCGGCGGTAGTAGCGGCGGCGGCGGAGGCGGCGGAGGTGGCGGTGGAGCTGGTTGCGGGTCTACGCAGAGGAGTGGCTGGTCCGAGCCATCAGCAGCAGCGCGGTCGTGAGACCCTGTCCCCTCAACAGCTCCGTGAGTGGTGGGGGTTTTGGTCCGTGCACCTACGTCCTGCGCACCGGGACCGTGCGGTGCGCACCCCACCCAGCGCTGCTTTGGCCGCCTGACGGACGCGTGGCGTCACCAGTTCCCTAAGGCCACAGAGATCCCTCGCTGGGGCGAGCTGTCTAGGGTGGGTGTTGCCATCTATGATCTTGATTTTGATGCTATTCTTTCTAACATGTATGCTGTGTCTATTAGTGATGAGGGTGGCTGTTACCGGTGTTTCCCGCCCAATCCGGGCATTGAGACTGCTGCTCTAGGTACTGGTGAGGCGGCTGCCCTAGGTGCTAGTGCGTGTGCGTCCTCAGGTACCGGTGAGTCTGCGCTCTCAGGTACTACGTCGGCTTCGGCCTCCCTCACCTTCACCTTTGACTCTGGGGCTTCTCGCTCCTTCTTTCGGGACCGCACCACACTCACGCCGCTTAGTCGGCCGGTTGCGGTGTCTCTCGCTCACCCCTCTGGGGGTCCTGTCCTAACTCACTTCTCCACAGTCCTCCCATGTCCAGCGGCTCCCTCTGGCACCCTGTCTGGTCTCTACCTCCCCTCGTTCTCTACGAACTTGGTGAGTGGTGCTGACCTACAGGATGGGGGAGTACACCAGTTCACTCCTGCGCGTCAGCGGTTGACGCACTGCAAAGAGGCTAGCACAGGCCGACACTTGGCTACGTTTACCCGTCAGCCGGGGTCGAGCCTGTACACACTGACCACTGCGTCTCCTCCAGGTGTTGAGTCTGGTAGGGTCGTTGCGTCGGGTCAGGCGTTTGCTGCAGCGTCCAGGTCTGGTCCTGAGTCTGCCCCCTGTTCTTGTCGTCTCCTGTCTCACGAGACTCTCCTCTGGCACCACCGCCTTGGTCACCCCTCTCTCCTTCGGCTCAGAGGCATGGCCTCCCGTCTTCTTGTTTCAGGTCTCCCTCGGTCCCTCCCTCCCCTTCCTCAAGGCCCTAGCCCTACCTGTGTCCCCTGTGTCAAGGGGCGCCAGCGGGCTGCCCCTCACTCCTCCCAGTTTCCTCCGACAGAGGCCCCGTTGCAGACGCTTCACATGGACGTGTGGGGCCCAGCCCGCGTCCATGGACAAGGTCACGAGCGCTACTTCCTGCTCGTTGTTGACGACTACTCGCGTTACACCACAGTCTTCCCCTTGCGCAGCAAGGATGATCTCACTGAGGTGATGATCGACTAGGATCCGCGCAGCTCGTCTCCAGCTCAGGATGAGCTTTGGCTAGGACTTTCCTGTTCTGCGTCTGCACTCTGACAGAGGCGAGGAGTTCTCCTCTGGCCTTCTGCGAGCCTACTGTCGCGCACGAGGAATCCGTCAGACCTTCACGCTTCCGGACTATCCGTAGCAAAATGGGATTGTTGAGCGCCGCATTGGCATGGTCATGGACGTCGCTCGTACGTCTATGATGCATGCGGCTGCTCCCCATTTTCTGTGGCCGTTTGCGGTGAGGTACGCGGCGCATCAGATCAACCTACACCCCAAGGTCTCTAGGCCGGAGACCTCCCCAGCCTTGCTGTGGACAGGTTGGCGATGCGTCGGCGTTCCGGGTCCGGGGATCTCGGGCGTTTGTCCGCGACTTGTCTGCGGACAAGCTGTCCCCTCGTGCTGCTCCCTGCATCTTCCTGGGGTTCCCCCCTAACGCGCCTGGCTGGAAGTTCTACCACCCCACCTCTCGCCGTGTTCTGTCCTCCCAGGACGTCACCTTTGACGAGTCGGTCCCCTACTACCGCCTCTTCCCCTACCGCACTCTGTCCCTCCCCCCGCCGCCGCTCTTCCTTGTACCAGGTCCCCCTCCGGTAGACCCCCTCCCCCCTCAGGGTCCTGCCCCTTCAGGTGTGTCCCAGGTAGACGCAGTCGAGCCTGTCGAGGTCACTGGTGACTCTGGTGCTGCTGAGGGTGCTGAGCCTAGGGGTGCTGACTCTGGGGGTACTAGGCCTAGGGGTGCTGAGTGTGGGGGTGCTACGTACTGGGGGTGCTGAGCCTAAGGGTGCAGAGCCTGGGGGTGCTGCGAGTGGGGGTGCTGAGCCTGGGGGTGCTGAGCCTGGGTGTGCTGAGACTATGTATGCTGAGCCTAGGGGTGCTGAGTCTGGGGGTGCTGCGCCTGGGGGTGCTGAGCCTGGGGGTGCTGAGCCAGGGGGTGTTGAGTCTGAGGTGTGCTGAGCTTGGGGGTGCTGAGCTTGGAGGTGCTCCGCTTGGAGGTTCTCCGGGTGCTTCATCTCTGCGGGAGCCACTCTCTCCACAGGAGCTGCGCGAGTGGTTTGCCCAGTGCTGGAGGCGTGCTGCTGGTGCTGGAGGTTCTTCGGCTACTGAGGGTGCTGCTGTCGCGGGTCCCGGAGGTGCTCCTACTGGGAGTACTGGAGCTGTTGGGCCTGCGGGTACGACTGGAGTTGGTGCTGCTGAGGGTGTTGGAGCTGAGACCTTTGCTGGCGGTCCTGCTGCGGGTACTTTTGGAGGTTTTGGCGCTGCTGGAGGTGCAGCTGGAGCGGGTGCTCCTACTGGGAGTTCTGGTGCTGTACCTGCTGTGTCTAAAGTCGCCGCGCTGCCTCGACCGTACTTCGTTCCACTCGTGCAGTAGGTTCTTGGTCTTCCGCCTTCTACTGGTCCTCCTCCTTCTTTAGGGTGTCCACAGCCAGTCCCGTCACAGTTACACTTGCAGCCTACCTCCCCTTTGCCTGCTCCTTCTCCCTACACTGGTCCTACTGGAGGTCTTACCTAGCGTCGTGAGCCTGCGTCTCGCCCTGCGTCGCCTGTCCGTGCTGCTCGCGCTAGTGGTCATGGTTCGCGTCAGCGTCCTCCTCCTGTCCCTGGCACGCACAGGATGTCTCTGCGTCCGTCCACTGTTCCTCTGCGTGCCCCTTTGCCTTCTCCTCCTCAGTCCTCTCTTCCTGCTTTTGCCGACTCGGAGTCGGACTCTCTTTGTGCTGCCAGTCCTACTGTCACGCGTCTCCTGGCTACTGTTGTCACTGACCCTTCTTTCGAGTCCAGTGCTGCGTCTGCCCTAGTTGCTGAGCTCGTCGACTTTGCTGCTCGCTGTCGCTTAGACTATGCTGCTAGTCTTGTCGCCGAGTCTGAGTTTGTCTGTCCTCCGTCCGTCAGGGGGTGAGTGTGCCCTTGGCACAGACGTCCTTGAGGACAGGCAGGAGGAGTTCCAGTGCTTGGCCGCTGCTTCATCTCATCTCGTGTCCGTACTGCTTACCCCTGAGGGAGACCCGGATGCACTTGGCATCCCGACTCCGCGCTCTTACGCGGAGGCGATAGAGGGTCCCTACTCTTCTCAATGGCAGGCAGCTATGGATGCAGAGATGGCTTCCTGGAAGTCCACAGGCACCTACGTTGACGCTGTCCCCCCTTTTGGGGCGAACATCGTCAGTGGGATGTGGATCTTCAGGGTGAAGCGGCCGCCGGGTTCTCCGCCTGTCTTCAAGGCGCGTTACGTGGCTCGTCGCTTCAGTCAGCGGCAGGGAGTTGACTACTTTCAGACCTTCTCTCCCACCCCAAAGATGACCACTCTTCGGGTACTGCTGCACGTTGCTGCTCACTGTGACTACGAGCTGCACTCTCTCGACTTCAGCACACCTTTCTTGCAGGGCAGCTTGCACTGAGGAGATCTAGCTGTGCCGCCCACCTGGCTTCACTGGGTCTTTCCCTCCTGGTACCCAGTGGAGTCTCCGGCGTCCAGTCTACGGTCTCCGCCAGGCGCCACGTGAGTGGCACGACACACTGAGGACTACGCTTACGGCTCTTGGGTTTGCTCCTTCTACTGCCGACCCGTCACTTTTTCTACGTACCGACACTTCTCTGCCGCCGTTCTACATCCTCGTGTACGTCGACGACTTGGTCTTTGCCACAGCTGACACTGCTGGACTCGCCTACGTGAAGTCCGAGCTGCAGAAGAGACACACGTGCACAGACCTAGGTGAACTGCGCAGCTACCTTGGCTTGCAGATCACCCGGGACAGAGCACGCCGCACCATTACGCTGACTCAGTCACACATGGTGTAGCAGGTCCTTCAGCGCTTCGGCTTCACGTACTCCTCGCCTCACGCCACTCCTCTGCCTACTCGCCACTCGCTCTCAGCTCTGCCTTCGGATGAGTCCGTAGAGTCGAGTGGCCCGTATCCAGAGCTTGTTGGCTGCCTCATGTACCTGATGACCTGCACACGACCTGACCTTGCATACCCTCTTAGCATTCTCGCACGCTATGTTGCTCCTAGGAGACACCGACCAGAGCACATGGCTGCAGCGAAGAGGGTGTTGCGCTACTTGTGCAGTACGTCGGGCATGGGGCTAGTGCTTGGAGGGCGGAGTCCAGTAGTCCTCACTTGGCACGCGGACGCTTCTTGGGCTGATGACCAGGCTACGCAGCGGTCCTCACAGGGTTACACCTTCAGCCTTGGTTCCGGCTCTGTTTCGTGGCGGGCTACCCGCTCGTCTTCTGTTCTCGGCTCCAGTTGTGAGGCTGAGATCTACGCTGGGGCCATGGCTGCATAGGAGCTTCGCTGGCTCACCTACCTGCTGACCGACCTTGGAGAGGCCGCCTCGTTCTCCTCCAGTTCTGTACGTAGACAACAAGGCCATGCTGGCCTTGTGTCGAGAGCAGAGACTGGAGCACAGAACAAAGCACATTGCTCTTCGCTACTTCCTTGCTCGTGAGCTACAGCAGCGTGGTCAGTTGCGGCTTGCGTACGTGGCCTCTGAGGCCAACACTGCTGATGTCTTCACCAAGGCACTTTCGCCTTGTCATCATCAGCGCTTCTGCACGCAGCTGGGTCTTGTGCCTGTCTTGCCTCACTTGCTCACCTCTTGACCTTGCTTGTACTGTTGGATATATATACACCTGCTCTTGCCTGTCTATTCCTTTTTATATATGTACTCCTGCATGTGAACTGGCCCTGTGGCCTTGAACTTGTGCTCAGAATATGTGGTGACTTTGTGATCCACTCTGAGCTTGCTTTGCTTTGCTTTGCTTGACTGGTCTTGTGACCCCTTGTTCTCCCCCACTTTGCCTATGGGGGTGTGTCAGAACATATAGCTTGTGCTTATTGTGTAGGCTATAGTGGGGTAGCCCATAAGGGGTACAACCCAATTAGGTTATTACTTGTACTCAGTTCATTCATAGTTCATTCATTCTCGTTCTTATTTTCTCACACGGTCCCTGGGACATCGCACTTCCTGGGCACACACTAGAAAAGGGGATGTGGTGGGGAATGGTAGAAAAAGGTATTTGAGAGACTCGGCACTCAACATGTGGGGCAGTGCAATGGGGTAGAGCACATCCTTCCCAGGTTTGAGCAACACGGAGTGCGTAGACTACACAGTAGCTTGGGGAACAAGTCGCTCATCTCAACCGGGTAGGTCGAGTATGTATTGCATGGGTCCTCCTGGCTTGATGTCAACCCTGCCACCTCATTCACGATCCATTGCTGCTCTTCAGGCGTGCGCGGCGTGTTCCGTGCCTTTACAGCAACCAGATGCTCCTGGTGTAGCACAAGGGTTGGGATGGGATGAACAGGTAAGGGAGGTGAGATTATGAGGTCCTCATGTGACATTCAGATGACGATGGTTCAGAAGGCACGCAGATCGCATGTTTGCTCACCTTTGCAGCATAGCAGATGCTGCACGGCATACGCGATCCATGCGAGAGTGTGCAACTGATCTTGCCGCTCTCAGGGTTGTCGCACACCCAGACGTACAGCAGTGGCCGCACGGTTTGCCAATCACCGAAAGGGTCCCTGAGACGGAACCTGTTGCAAGGAACAGGTATTGTGGCAACAGGAACAGGGATGACGGCTTTGTGCATCGGCGAAGAGGGACAAAGGGGACTGCTACATACAGAATCGCTGCGCATACTATGATGTTGATTGGGTGAAGACATAGCAATACGGAAATCGAGTATGGACCTTTCGATGCCATCAAGAAGCGGCTGCAGCATGGTGATGACGCATCACTGGAAGAGCATCACCTTCTCCACGGCAAACATTGCAGAAGGGGGGATAGGAAGGAGAGCAAGTAGCGTGTGCCCGGCTTTCCCCCATCGCTTGGCCTGGGAGATGTTTGCAAGCGTCATCATGAGCGGCCACGCCTTCTTCCGGCCGTTGTTGCTCATGTGCATCACATCCGAATATAGAATGATACCCCCCACAACTTTGGACCATCCGAAGTGTTCCTGCAATGCACGACAAAGAGGGAAAAGACACACGGTCAAACACCAACAAGGTCACTTAACACCAGGCGGACTAAGCATGCTTCAAAGAACTCCCCACAAACATGACACACTGAAGATGCTCCCTACACATCAGCGCATCAACGGAGGCATGCGCACTCGTCTGGTTTTGGGTGGCAACGGGGTATTTCCATACCTGAGCATCATTCCACCACGTTCCTGTTTACGGCGTGGTATAGTGACGATCGCTTGTGTCAAGATCCTCATCGACACGAGCCTTCAGCTTGAAGCCGGGGGCGTTGTTGGTATGCCCAAACAGTTCGGCAAACGCCTGGAGAACAGTGGCAAGAGCAGGAGAGAACCAAACCCATGGTTAGTGGCGTTGAAGGTGGGTCAGATCTCACACAAGCCTAGCAGAGGCAACTTTCAACAAGCACCAAATGGATGCGGAATCTGCATTTCGCAGCCACGGATCCAGAGTCGGCTTACCTGCGCAGAGTTCTGGAAGAGGAGGCGCTGTGGCGGATGACCGTCAATCTCAAAGGTCGCCGCTGACCATCCGCGATTGAGCCCTACCAAGTGCTTCATCTCGAACCGCTCCAGATCCTTGCAGTTCTGGATCTCTGAGATCACAAGAGGCGCAAGGCCGGGCTCCACCACGAGCTGAAGCAGGCCATTGATGTCAATCTCCGCCATTACCATTCCGCCATTTACGCGCCGCACGAAATGCAGCAGCTTCAACGCAAGCGGATTGTGGGGCATGGCATTGCTCTGCCCGGAGATGATTGGCGGCGGTGCGGCGTGACTCACTTTAGGGCGGCTCTCCCGATGCTTACTCGTGTCAGCTGCAGGTGTTCCGGGAGGCGGTTGATGCTCACTTTCAGGAGCCCCCAATTTCACAGCCGAGGGTGTTACGTCCTCGTCACCTTCATGCACGCGAGGAGGACCATTCACACCGTTGGTGTTGGACGCGTTAGACGCGGTAGGGGAAGCGGGAGTAGCGGGAGCGTCTGACAAAATGTCGTGGACAAATTGCAGTGCGTATAGACCGGCGGACGGTGGAGATCGCGAGGGCCTTGCCACGACGGAAAGCCCTTGACAAGGGGTCCGCTGTGACTTATGGCCGCCATAAACCTGCGCGTTTGGGAACCATCTGTTGCATAACTCGCATACTACGCTTGGCAAAGAGCCCATGTATTCTAGATGCGTCTATGAATGGTGGAATGTAGTGTGAGGAGACTATCGAGTTTGAAGCTTGTAAACGCTTTTACTTCACTAGTCAATGAAGGCTCAGACTCCAGAACGGTCATCGCCACAGCGCGAAATGTCCACGGCGGCTTGGATCTCTGCACGATTGGTACTTGATCGTGGCGCACTAGTGAGAGACTGGCTAACAATGGTCGCGCAGCGCGGCCGTGACAAGGCTAGATACAGACCGCCGACAGCACGGCATAGGCCTTTCCTACAAGGCGTGTCGCCCCCTGTTAGAGTGATTGCGACGTGAGCAGGGCCTTATGCGGTGGAGTACGGCTAGCTTGGTCGCGGGCATGCGTCACGAGCACGGTGAGGAGTACATGCCTCCATATTCAAAACTTCGGTTTTTGAATCGTGTGTGAGAGTCGAGGTGGGAGAGGAAGAGAGGGAAGAGATCTGTTTGGTGTTGTGATTCTTTTGAGAGTCTCTATAGGGGGGAGATTGCGATCACGTAGGTGTGCCCAAAGTGGTGCGCACCTCCATAGCCTTAATCCAAACCAGGTAATACCATGTACAGTTACATCTAACAAATTACTTAATGTCACTCATAAAGATTATACAACCATACTTTACGGCATGCTCAATACCTTCCGCCATATTGACAACGGCAGTATTTAGAAACAACACCATTAGTGTGGTCTGCTACCATTTGGGAAGCAACACCATTCCACAACGGTTTCACCATGTCGTGCAAGCCATGGGCCTGAACACTGCAACGTCGCCGCGTCGGAACAGCGATGTCAATAACGCATCATCGCTCGTGCGTTGGACCTTTGCTTCATACAACTCCTTCTGGGCGCCTTGTTGAATGTTCGTGCAAGAATGGATGACAACACCAAACCACAACGGATTCACCATGTCGCGCAACACACAGGCCGGAACGCGGCATCGTCGCACTGTCTAAAAACTGCTGACGAGAACGCATCTACGCTTGTGCGTTGGGCCTGTTCTTCATACCACTCCTTCTAAGCGCCTAGTTGAATGTCCGTGCAAGAATGGATGACAATCCAACATCAAACCAAAACGGATTCACCATGTTGCGCAACACACAGGACGGAACGCGGCATCGTTGCACTGTCTAAACACTGCTGTCGAGAACGCATCTACGCTTGTGCGTTGGGCCTGTCCTTCATACCACTCATTCTAAGCGCCTAGTTGAATGTCCGTGCAAGAATGGATGACAAT